GGCCGGGATGCTCTCTCCGCCTCAGGAAGCCGTCGGGGCAGGGAGCAGCCTCCCGGTTCTGGCTCCAGGCTCCCCTCCTGGTCCTGGGCGCTGCTGATAGAACTGGTCCGGACACCTCTGAGGGCTCAGTTTTCGGCAGCCACCCTCCCCGCCCTGGTGTGCAGGTCGCCCAGTGGGGCAGCGGGTTCCGCAAGGAATGGTTCGAGTTTCATCTCCACTGTGTGGCTTCTCGAGCTTGTTGGAGACGCAGCAAAATAGGGAAACGCATTGTACAGGGTTGAGCTAACACATTACAGGGGTTCGCTTCCACAAATGAGCTTGATACAGGTTCTCAGAAATATGAGTGACCTCCGTGACTCTGACTTCGAGGAAGACTGCAGACTGCCTGGCACCCCTCCCAGGGTTAGCAGTGTGCAGGCAGGAAGCTCTGTCCGCTGGCTTATCTGAATCCCTCCTGCGTGGCCCAGTTCCCCTTTGATCTGGGTCCTCTCCGAGCTGGACCGTGGCAGGTCATGGCGTGGCTCGGTGACTCAGTGTGCCAAGCGGACCAGAGGTCACGAGGCTGCTCCGTGTCCCTGCCACGTGCACACACACACACACACACACACACACACACACACACACACACCTTCACCGTGGAGCTTCAGCAGCTCAGCTCCAGGCTACTGGCGGGGAGGGGAGGTCCTGGCCTCCAGGCAGCCTTTGCTCTGTCCCTCAGGCTTGAAGGCAGCTCACCCAGCACCAGGCTGATGATGACCTTCCTCATTTCTCTGTCCCTCCTGGGCCGTCCCACTGGCCTCTGGAGCTCCCTTTCAGGATTCAGAAGGGCATTAAGGGTCCCATAGGGGAAAAAGCAGATGGGCTTCTACCCCCCGTGGCTTTTCCCCAAGGGCCTAGTCGGTTATTCGGGCCACCTGAGGGGTGACTCCAGCTGGAGTCTCAGGTTCTTTTCCAAGCCCCGAAGTCCCTGAGGTGCATCACACATGTGGAGTCTCCCCAACTCTCCTCCTTGAGTATTTGGAGCGGATGGCTAGTCAGGGTGGTCTGCTTGGAAGATCTTTTTATTTTGTAGCTATGTGGCCTCAAACCCAGTTATTTAATTTCTCTCCAAGCCCTCATTTATAAATTCGGGGCAAAAACACCCACCTTACACTTAAACGATTTTTGTGTAATGCGCTAACGGGTGCAAAGCATCCGGTACAGCGTCCTGCTCCCCGAGTGTGATGGGTTAAGTAATTGGGGACGCTGAGGAAGCTGAGGTGTACGGGGCTCCAGGTACCAGCAGAGAAAGGCGTCAGGAATCAAGACCGTACTCCATCACTGTCCCGGTTCATCATCGCAACATCACAGCCATCACCTCGCAGTGAGAAATGAGGCTCTTCCTGGGCTGCTCCCTTAGGAGCTCAGGGTCCAGATTTGGAGGCAGGTCGGTTAGAAGACAAAGGAAGGGCCCTTGCCAGCTGATTGGATGGGACTAATTTCACCTGAGAAGCCAAGCAACCCCCCCCCCCCC